GACTTTATGGAGCTGATCAGACTTACCAATGAAACAGGAGTAAATGGACGTGTCATAAACATAGACATCAAAATGAGAGCTGATGCCATCGGGACAACCATTAAAAAGAAAATAGAAAATAGAAAAAAGAATAGAGCTTTGCAAAAGGATCTAGAAGAGTAGCCATTCAGGATAAATTTCATTTCATATTTTGATAATAAAGACAGGATCATGTTAAACATTTCTACAGGACACCATAACTTTTCAACTTGTGAGGAAGACCTTTCGTATGCTTTCAAGATGTCCAAACGAATATCACCAGTTCCACCAATCTTCATAGACACATTACAAAATGTACGTCAATACATGAGCGGTTGACGTAGAAAAACGAAAACTATATTGCTTGTCTTAAAGAAGGCCCTACGATATGAGATATATAATCAGTTCAGCATACATTAGGTATGTAAATATAGTACAGGTCTAATAATCCCATAGTTGGAAAAGTCGGACGGATCACCTGAGTTCTTAAAAACTGGATGAGGATTTCCAACGAGCAGGATATCTAGAGTCAGTGAGAATATATGGAAGTGGACAGTGAAAGTGGCGACAGTCTGTTTCATGCTAGATCGCAATCGTCAGGCCTGACGTTTGCGTTTAAGCATGAAACTGTCGCCACTGAGTGTTACTCTCAATGTTAACATTAATAATTTACATACACCCTATAGATGTTATTAACACTTTAACCCATACATGTAGCAAACCTTATATATATATATATATATATATATATATATATATATATATATATATATAAAGACATTTTTATGTTTAACATTCTTTTTATAGATACAAGTATTTAAGTAATAAACAGTATTAAATAACATTTACCGGCTTGAATGTCCGAGAAATTTTTCGAACCTGTATCCTATACAGAACCGTCATATATCTTGACGTGCCTTACCGCTCCGCCACAAAGGATCATTCGGTTGGCCAGGTCGAATTTCTGCTTATAAACTTCAATTTTCCATGAATCTCTCACGTACATTTGATACGCCATGAGCAGTTATGAATGTACGTGAGAGGTTCATGGAAAATGGAAGTTTTTAAGCAGTAAATTCGACCTTGCCAACCGAACGATCCTTTGTGGCTGAGCGGTAAGGCACGTCAGGCTATATGACCGTTCCATACAGGTTCGAATCCTGTCGAAAGACGAATATTTTCTATGAAAATTTCTCGGACATTCAGGCCTGTAAATGTTATTTAATACTGTTTATTACAAACAGAGCACTTACTTAAATACTTGTATCTATAAAAAGATTGTTAAACATAAAAATGTCTTTAAATAACTGTCGGACTTTGTCCATTTCATAATATATATATATATATATATATATATGGGGGCAACTCAAGTTCATCAGTTTTTGTCGGGCTCATTAAAATCTTTAAAATATATATATATATTGGTATAACTTAGATGCTAAAATGATTACTTTACTAAATATATATATATATATATATATATATATATATATATATATATATATATATATATATATTAATCAAAAATCGTACAGTCGAATGTACTTGAATATTAAAGAAAGAACTTATACAGTTTATAATTTAAAAAAACCCAATTATCATAACATTCATCGAGTGATTGGTAGGTTAATGCACCTTTAAAATATTTAATTTTATATCATCAACTTTACTAATTGCCTTTTTGTATGAATGATCCATTGTAATATAAATGAAACTACGCCACATATTTGATATATTTGATATATATATATATATATATATATATATATATTGAAGGTTTGAATAAACAGCTCTGAACAGAGTCGGCCCAAAATTAGCCTTCTGGCATAAAAGTGATCTATGTCATAAAAATAACAGAGCATTGGAATGTTAATTCAATAACGAGGTAAGCAATGACTGGCCACTACGTTTGCACACAATCTCCAGGTAGCCAGTAACTTGCAGTAGTAAGATGATTACCTTAGATACCACCGGACGAGTACAATTTGACAAGCAAACCAGAATAGCACACTAGGGAAGGGTAGATCATTCAGCCAATATCTAAAATAGCAAAGAAAGAAATTCAACATGGAAAGGCTCGCCAAAATAGCATATATACATATGGTTATTGAATTAATATTCGAATGTTCTGTCATTTTATGGCATAGAGCACTTTTATATCAGAAGGCTAATTTTGGGCAGACTATATTTAGAGATGCTTATTCAAACCTTGGAATTACAGATTCTTGATCAAAGCAAATAAGCCTGCAACTCCTGACGATTAACCATTGGATTTTGTTTAATTTGACGCATTATGTTCCTTGAAGATCTTGAAGAAAAGATTCTCTAAGGTGAATTTTGTAGTCTGGTCCTGTTGAGCACATTTTTGGCTTAATGCTTCACCTCCTGTACGATAGCACCGGTTTCTCTTGTTATTTAGCGATTTTTGTTATACTGGCAAGTTTTTCCAGGTTTATTTATTTACTTGCCATTTTAGATCTTGGCTGAATTATCTACCCTTCCCACTGTGCGAGTTTGGTTTGCTTGTCAAATTGTACTCGTCCGGTGGTATATAAGGTAATTATCGTATTACTGAAAGTTACTGGCTACCTGAAGATTCATCTGTAGCAGGCCGGGTTCTAATCTCTTAACTGTTGTCGAACTCTCTAACTTCAGGCAGAGAGGAAACCAGACGAAGCTATGTCGAAGGGGCAGAATCTCGTCTGGGTAGGTAGACAGACCCGACCCCGTTTATACAGGGTCTATGGGTAATATTTGGCCGAGCCTACGGGATCGGATTTGCCCCACATTAAACTCGGCCTTGTGTCACAAACTACCTCGTGGGGGAAGTTAGTAAATATTACTGGCCACATGAAGAGTGTGTGCAAATACATAAAATTTAAAGTAGTGGCCAGTCATTGCTTCCCTGGTTATTAATATATATATATATATATATATATATATATATATATATATATATATATATATATATATATATATATATATATATATAAAACATTAAAAACAAGAAATTTTATATTGTAGGCCATGATAGATTTAAAACAAAACACACACCAGTCTGCCGGTTTCGTCCCCTCTCATCAGAACTGTTAAAGAATATTATAAAAAACTTTTTTCTTTTTCTTTTCCTCATGATGAGAGGGGACGAAACCGGTCGACTGGTGTGTGTTTTGTTTTAAATCATTCTACAATATAAAATTTCTTGTTTTAATGCCTTAATACGCTTTTTGTACCGTTTCAAATATATATATATATATATATATATATATATATATATATATATATATATATATATTATAAAGTGTAAACATAATATTTTAAAATTGTAGTTCAATATAGCGTATTCTAATCCAAACACCCCTTTTAAAAAAATCCTTAAGTATACAAGAACGAATTTAACGGAAAAAATACCAAAAAAAAATTCTGTTGATAAAAAAAAACAAAAACAGACGACATGCGTTGAACGGATGTCAAAATTCGTTGAAAAATGCACCTCTACCCTCCCTAAACTTAACCACTTTTTCGAACGTAACTCATAAATTGATAGAATAATAGTTAATAAAAATGAACACGCTACTGCCTTTGTCTAAATGATGGGATTTGTCTGTATCCTCGGAAACAAAAAAAAGATGAATTGTATGTGCGTTTAAATCTCAGTGCATTTAAAAATAAGTTATTCCAAAATTCCCTTGAAGATGAAACAGAACTAAGGCTTTAATTTAATTAATTAATTTTAGCTTCGGTTTTTGAAACATGGTCATTCCTGTGTAGCGAAGAAAGCATATTTTAAATCAGTTAATTTATAATATTTATGCTCTGTACATTTACATTGAGTACTGTTTTTTTTTTTTAAAATAAAAATATCAATAAGAACAACGGATTATATATCTTACTGTTCTTTCTGTTTATTATAATATATATATATATATATATATATATATATATATATATATATATATATATATATATATATTACGCAAACACAGACACATAACTGAATATGCAAATTAAGAAATAATAGCCCAAATTATTATATGCTAATTATTAATTATTATTTATTTTTAATTATTGTAAATCAAAATGAAAGAATTAGTTCTGCAATCATTGTCACTATTTTGTCAGAGAAATTTTCTTAATGATTTATAATCTGTGGCGTTGCAAGAGAACACGTATGAAGTGTATATAAGGTGCAGACGGGTAAAATATTTGTGAACGACGAAAATAATCGAAAATAATTATGAGCTTGAATGAAAGAGAGTGTGAGAAGAAATAATGAGAGAGAAGGTTAGAGAAGAAAGAGAGTTAGAAAGAGAGCGTATAAGAAATAGAGATTCAAAAGAAGAAAGTGAACGTGTGTGTGTATGTGTGAGTAGAAGAAAGAGAAAAGAGGATAGGAAAAGGAGAAAAGTATGAAGTGAGATAGCAAAAAAGACAGAGAGAGTGAGAGAGAGGGAAATAACGATTAGGTGTCTGTGTGAGAGAGTACCATAGTGAGAGAGAGTCTGTGTGTGTGTGTGTGTGTGTGTGTGTGTGCATATGTGTGTACGGGTGTGTTTTTGTTCGCGCGAGTAAAACCTTACGTGTTAAATAAAGGAAGGTAAAGAAAGGTGGAAAGGAAGTAAAAAAGAAATTGAGTAATAGAAAGTGAAAGGGAGAGTGTGAGAGAGAGAGAGAGAGAGAGAGAGAGAGAGAGAAGGGGGAAGATAGCAAGAAATTGTGCGTATAAGAAGAATAGATTGGGAAAAGGAAAGTGAACGTGTGAATGTGGGTAAAAGAGAAAGCACGTTTGCCTTTTTCTAAGAGAGAGGGACTATGAAAAATGACAAGAGCGAGAGAGAGCGGAAAGAAATCATGGTCGAGTGTATCTATGTGAAAGAAAGAGAGAACGTGTAAACGAGATAGGTGTGTTCGAACAAGTGAGATCATAGAAGTGTACATGTGACAATTTGAAAGGGAATGAAAGAAAGAAAGAAAGAAAGAAATTAACAAAGAAGAGAGAGAGAGAGAGAGAGAGAGAGTGTGTGTGTGTGTGTAAGAGAGAGTGAGAATGAAGAAACGAGCATATGAAATAGTAAAAGAGAACGAATTAAAAGGAGAGAAAGAGTTCGGGCAATAGAAAATGAGAAAAAGGGTGAGTGTGTGTGTGTAAACTTGTGAAAGAGAGAAAGAGAGAGAATGAAAGAGTAAGAGAGAGAGAGAGAGAGAGAGAGAAAAGGAGTGAGAGAAATGGAGAAAGGAGAAAAAAGACGTAAGCTGTAAGGGAAAATAAGGACGAGGAAGAACGCATGAGAGTCAGAGAGAGAGAGAGAGAGAGAGAGAGGAGAAAAGAGAAAAAAGACGTAAGCTGTAAGGGAAAATAAGGACGAGGAAGAACGTATGAGAGTCAGAGAGAGAGAGAGAGAGAGAGAAAGAGAGAGAGAGAAAGAGAGAGAGAGAAAAGGAGTGAGAGAAAAGGAGAAAGGAGAAAAAAGACGTAAGCTGTAAGGGAAAATAAGGACGAGGAAGAACGTATGAGAGTCAGAGAGAGAGAGAGAGAGAGAGAAAGGAGTGAGAGAAAAGGAGAAAAGAGAAAAAAGACGTAAGCTGTAAGGGAAAATAAGGACGAGGAAGAACGTATGAGAGTCAGAGAGAGAGAGAGAGAGAGAGAAAGACAGATCGAAAGAGAGACGGGTGTAGAAGTGAGTGAAAAAATAGATGCTTTCATGTGAAATAATAAGAGAGATAGAGAGAGAGATAGAGAGAAAGAGAGGGGGAGACCAATGGAAAGAGGGGTGTACGAAAGAGTGAAAAAGAAGATGCCTTCATGTGAAATAATGGGAGACAGAGAGAAAGAGAAAAAGGCAGAACAAAGGAGAGAGAGGTGGCAGGGTGTACGAAGTGTGAGTATAACGAATTGTGCCTGTGAAATAATGAAAGTGACTTAAATAATGAGAGTAAAAGGAGGAGTGAGAGTGAGAGTGAAAGAAAGTGACCCAGAAAATAATGAAGAGATAGCGTACGAGAGTTACAGATATAGATAGTGTTACGAGAGAGTGAGAAAGGAGATGCTTTCATGAGAAATAATAAGAGAGAGACAGAGAGAACAATGGAAAGAGGGGTGTAGGAAAGAGTGAGAAAGAAAATACTTTCATATGAAATAAAGAGAGAGACAGAAAGAGAAAGACAGATCAAAGGAGAGAGGGCTGTGCAAGAGAATGAGAAAGAGGTTCATGTAAAATGATGAGAGAAACATAGCAAAGGAGAGAGAGAGGTGTACGAGAGAGTGAGAAAGAAGATGCTTTCATGTGAAATAATGGGAGAGACAGAAAGAAAAAGATAGTACAAAGGGGAGAGGGATGGACGAGCGAGAGAGAGAAAGAAGATGCTTTCATGTGAAATAATGGGAGAGACAGAAAGAAAAAGATAGTACAAAGGAGAGAGGGATGGACGAGCGAGAGAGAGAGTGAGAAAGAAATAATTGGATGTGAAATAAAAAATGAACAAAGGAGAACAATGGACGAGCAGAAACAGAGAAGAATAGATATGTGTGCTAATGAAACATGAAGATAGATAGATAGATAGATAGATTGATAGATAGATAGAAAGAGAGAGAGAGAGAGAAAGAGAAAGAGAGAGAGAGAGAGAGAGAGAGAGGTGGTACGAAAGAGTGAGAAAGATGATGCTTTCATGTGAAGTACTAAGAGAAAGCTGGATAGACCAAAAGAGAAACGAAAGAAGGTATTTTGAGAGTGTGTGTGAGAGAGAGAGAGAGTTAGCAAGAAGAATCATTGATCTCAAATAATCAGAAAGTGAAAGAAATGGTGAACAACTGAGAGAGGAGTAAACGAGAGAAAGAGAAAAAGGGTGAGAGTAGTGTTTCGAGAGAGTGACAAAGAAGTTGCTTTCATGCAAAATAATTAGAGAGAGAGACACACAAAAATGGGTGTACGAAAGTGTAGTGTTACGAGAGAGGGTGAAAGAATATGCGCTTATATAAAATAATGAGAAAGGAAAGAGAAAGATAGAGAGAGAAAGGAAGAGAGAGAAAGGAAGAGAGAGTGAAAGAACGAGACTGAAAATGTGAGAACAAGAGAAATATTGTGCTTGTAAAATATTATGAGCGAAATAAAAAGAAATAAAAGAGTGAGAATAATTTAGAAAATAAAGACGAAAGAGCATGTACGAGAAAAGGAGAGCGCTGATATATGTGTGAGTGTGTCTGTATGCATTGTGTGTATCTGTGTTTTGTTTGCATTTAATTGAATTCTTTATAATTCTAGCAACATTCGACATATTAGATTTGTCGAAGTGTTGCCGATTTTTTCCTTTTCTTTCTATCTCGAACTGATTCCTCAAATTATACTCATTTTTTCCGAACAACAATTTTTAACAAAACACAACAAAACTGCGTACTGATCAACTTTATTTATGTTAAACAGTGTCTGCTTGAACGAAATAATTCGACATTTTTAGAAGTAATCGATTTAGCGATAATTACAATTTATATAAATGAAATCAAATGACACGTTCTTTTCATTGGAGAATAAAAGCAGATCTTCTTGGGCGTGCGTGTAAGAGGAGGCAGTTCGTGTTTTCTCCGCTTTTAAGATAACTCGTGTCAGAAAGTATGAAAAATAGTTAAAACAAGGCAGTGGTATTCATTTAACTTCATTGCAACCGTAGTCGTGATTGCTAATTGAAAGTTACATTGTAAACATATTACTTGTTAACCGCTTTCGCTTGCGAAGTTAATGTGTTTGATTAATATATACGATCGTTATCTCATGGCTGGTTTTATACTGATTTTGCGAATGGGTTCTAGACCAGCAGTAGGACCCTTCTCGGTGTCATGATGAAGGCTACGATTACGATTATATCTCCGTACGATTCAATCCAGGTTATAGATGGACTTCAGTGAGTCTTACTGTCTTACTAGCTAGTCTGCCGCGCCAGCAAGGACGTGACTCCTCCTATTCTCTTTCGTCAATCGGAGTAGATAGGTTCGCCTATCGTCTGGTTCGCACTTATCCCGGTTTGTTGGGAGGTTTGTTGCTTGTTTCCTGTTTAGGATTGGGTTTCCGGTTCCTTCTAAAGTCTACTTCAACTCTATATTTTTAAGGTCACCGCCTAAAACTATATGAAATTTTATTTACAATTTTCTTCCCTCAATCGGAGTAGATAGGTTCGCCTATCGTCCTGTTCACGTTCCTCTCGATCTTTTGAACAGAAATAGAGATCTATTCCTTATTTCCTGTTTAAGTTGGGTTTCTGGTTCTTACTAAAGTATTTTCCTCCCCTTTCACTTCCGGTGGCCCCTTGCATCTTGGTGGTTTTTTCTCTTGGGGTGATGCCTCTTACTGTGACACTATTTAGGGTTGCGTGAAAAAAAAAGTCGAGAATTAATTTAGGTGATGAGAAGCTATCACGAAAAGACACTGAGCGATGTTATTTTTTTCTAACAAAGAAAAGTGGTAAAGATTTTATTTTCATTAGCGAAGAAAGTAAGATATCGGATCTGTCGAATTAATTTATATTACGTGGCGGCGAATAAGATATAGCCATCTGCCCATGGCAATAATGAAAGTTTCAAATTGGACAAGTGGCCTACAGGACAGAGTGCTAAGAGATAATATTAATTAGGTCATGCACTGACCGAGAAAAATGTCCGCTGGACCACCACCAAGGAGATATCATTTTTTTTTTTTTAAAGAAAACACCTGTTTTATTGTTCAAAACTGGACATGATAAAAGTTTGTATCGGAAGAAATAATTGGCTACAGGATGCAAATACGTCCAGTTAAACCACCCACTTGACACTGGCGAAAATCTCCATTGATAAAGTCCAGGTGACATTCGGTTAAGATAGAGATTAGAGATCACACCTCGAGTCGTAGGGGTCTGTTCGAGGAAAAGAAAGTAAAGAAAAAAAAAGAAGATAATTTTTTTTCTTTGGGAGATAATTTTGAACTGAGGCCAGTCCGGCTGCACCTACGCTGCTGGGCGTTCATTGGCTGAATGGTGGCGTGAGCGGTAGGCGAAGGTAAACCATGAAGAAGGAGGGGAGGCCTGTTGACGCCCCCTGAAGGGAATGCTGTGAGATGCCACCGTGAGAGAGAGGGGACCTTTTGACGCCCTCTTAAGGGATCGGGTGAGATACCCATATGAGAAAGGAAGTATTTGGGAGGACGATTCCCTTAAACTAGAAATTAAAGCTTTCCAAAAATGGAAAGTAATAAATTTTCCTGACCGAAAACAAAGAAAACCCTTAATGCGGATTTAGAATTATCAAGGAACCTCAAACCCCGACAAGCCCACCCCGGTTTTGGTCGAAGTCCATATAAGCAAAGTCGCAGCGAGTGGACGGCAGTTAGTTGGGGTTAGAAAGACAAGCAAGAATTGAGCTGTGAGCTCTGAGACCCGCCTCGCAGGAACGAAAGATCCACGCAATCACGACCTCAACTTCTAACCAAGAACAATTTATTTTTGAAAAACGACTTAGACTCACGCCATCAAAAAAAGTTTTACGAATATCACCTGAAGATACACCAAAACCAGTTTCTTAAAAGAACAATTTAAGATGTTAAGACTCGCCTAACAAACACAAAGTGTCACGAATCCATATTAGCGGTTTCGGAGAAAGACTCAGTCCTGTATTCAGCAACCAGATATAAAATATTATTATTCCTTTTTTAACACATTTGAACTTTTCGAGTTATTACTTTATTTTCTTTTACATATACTTGTGCGGTATTGCCCTTGTTCGGGCGCGACTTGCATTACGGCCCAGCGACTGATTGATTTCGTCTACCTAAGATCAAATCACAACGTGGGTAGGTTAGACTAGAAATCAAAACCGTTACTTCGGTAACCAGACGTTGGAGGCGAGCTGGGAACGACAAGGCTGATACCGAGTCTAACCAGATTCCCATCCGAATCAGCAAAAAGGTTAGAACGTCACATTTGGTGCCGCGACCAATACCAAGTCACATTGGTCGTCACGGGACAGGATAGGACGGCGACGGCGCGGAGACAGACGGGGTGACGCCACAACTGGTGCCGTGACCAAGACAGCACGGCGGGCGCGACCAGGAAGACGTCACATTTGGCGCAGCGAGCCCGGGGTGACGTCACATTACACCCTAGCCCTCTATCTAGAGGCGCTCTTGAGCCTTGAGCAAGGTGAATATCATTATAATAAAAAAAAGACATACCTCTCTCCCCCTCTTTCTCCATCTCCCCATCAACTCTTTTACACTCTAGTTATGGCGTATCGGTCCCAGCCTTAAACACTAGGCATTGCTTTTCATAGGAAGTAGGCTTTTTTTCAGATGTTCTACTTGCTGTCACATGCGTAACTGATTACGAGTTTAGTTTGTACTAAACGGGTTGCCAACCAAAGCTGAAGATTCCAGTCTGCACTATTATTTAACACAGAGGGGTGATGGATTCATGACTTTCCCAAGGGTATTTGCACGAAAGGAAATGTGACGAACTCGACTGGAATTCGAACCCCTCGATTTCTTATTCCCAGCCGCTAGCCCCCTATACATCCATAAGGTCAAAGGGGTACGATATATACTGCAGCCGTAGCAGCGGTGACTATGTCCAGAGTAAGATAACCCGACGCAACCAATTCCTCTTCAGTTTTGCTTCTATTAGACTGAGTGTAGAACCAAGATTAATGAGCCCAGTCTAAAATTTAACAAATAGCGAGCTGAATTAACTGACTGTAAATTTTTTCTTGAGTGGCCGCCAGACATTGCAGAAAAATATTTTAAGAAACTAAACTTCCTAAAAGCATATCTTCCTGGTGTTAGTTTTAACTGACTCCTGTTTTTCAGACAATATGAAAAATTTGCTTAAAGGTTGTTTTTTTTTTTTTTAATTCAGTTAAAAATGTACAAATTTTCCAATTTATTTCAATGAGATTTTCACTTTCCAAAACTATCGTTTATATTGAGGAAAAGGCGTCAGGAGAAGATGTGTTTAAATATCAAATCTTAGTCAAAGAATGTCTACTTAAGCCACGTGTCTGCATAAAATGTGAACAGATGTCTAAAATTTTAGATGTATATTTTTAATTCAACCTGTCAATTATTACAGGAAATCAACTTTACTCGAATTGGTTTAAATTTGAAAGACCAACGTTACTAAACTTGAAATTGATTTTCTTCTTGTTAGTAGCCCAGGTTAGCCTGGATTATTAAAAAGTAGCCCTAAAAAGTTTTAAATAGGAAAATTCAAAATTTAGCAGGGCTGGTCCTTCAAAAAACAGTCCAATCTGGAAACCCAGTTTGGGAGAAAAGGTGGACACCGTTTAGTAATCAGAATTGTTCTGAGAAATAAAAGATAACTTTATTTGGATGATAGTTAAATTTATTTGGATGATAGATAACTTTATTTGGGTGACAGATAACTTTATTTGGAGGATAGATAACTTTATTTAATTGATACATAACTTTATTTGGATGATACATAACTTTATTTGGATGATACATAACTTTATTTGGATGATACATAACTTTATTTGGATGATAGATAAATTTATTTGAAGTAACAGAAAATCTTATAATTAGTTTGTCATTTTTTATAATGTTAAAGAAATAATTAAAAAATATTTTGAATAATACCTTTTTACATCTATTTTTTTAAAAAGTTGAATTTAGATTTTTTTCTGAAAAATATCCTAAACAATTTTCATTGATCACTTGAAATAAATATGTAAAAAAAATCTTAAACAGTTTGTTACTTGTACTTGCGTAATAATTGTTTCGCCATGGGGACAATGGAGTAATAGATAGTGGCTCGGATTGAGGAATCGGAGAGCCGAGTTCGAATTCCAGTCGAATCTATTACATTCACTTACGTGCTAATACCTTTGGGAAAAGAAGGAATCCTCTTTTTGTCCCCCCAGCTATGAGTAAATATCAGGGCAGCCCGGGTTCTCTAGCCTTGAAATGGCAACCTACTGCGGAAAAAATCTGCCTCCTCAGTCATGATCGCATACGCGTGTATCACCCATGGCACATAACTGACTGAATATAGAATAGCAATAATAGTAAGTGAGAACGATTTTATATGAATATTTACTCTCTTTTATTTTATTATCTCCATTTGCGTGAATAAAACAAAAGAATTTCAAGTATATGATCAAGGTTTACAAATGCATTCATATCAGC